TGAATGATGACTACCAGGTTCATGATAACTGAGTGTGTTTATTTATAAGGAGTCCTATAGGAGCTCTGGTGGCCTAGTGTTAAGGAGCTGCACTGCAATCCCAAAGACATGCAGTTTGATACCCAGTTGCTCTGCCTGAGAAGGATGGGCAATCTCCTCCCGTATGATTAACTGCCTCTGAAAACCTGCCGAGAGTCAGCTCTGGGTCAGTTCCAACTCATCAGCACACAGCAACAATAACAACACAGGAACACAGGGAGCTCTGGTGGCCTAGTAGTAAGGGGCGGTGCTGCAATCCCAAAGGCACACAGTTTAAACCCACCAGCTGCTCTGTGGGAGAAAAAAGGGCACTCTCCTCCTGTGCCATTTCTTGCCCTTGAAAACATGCTGGTTGGTCAGCTATGAGCCAGTTCTGACTCAATGGTACACAACATAGGAAAACAGAGATATAAGCAAATGTATGGCAAAAAGCCAGTGGATGCATTTGTTGTCCAGAGCTAGATTAATAATTATATTTTTTGAAAAGGTTGCTATGGGAGAAGATTTGAAGTGCTGATCCTTTGGTTGACATTGCAATATCTGATATATGACACCTCAGAAAGTTAACACTAAGAGGCAAGAGTAGAAGTAGATACACGTAAGGAGATTCTTGTACTAGTTAATGGGATACAGGGCTGGATTGGATTAGGGAGATGGAGAGAATAAGGATGTGAGACACATTTTGCAAGAAGCAGTGAAATAATAGAATGGTTATGAGCAGAAAAAATTTTTAAAAAGGAAGATTTTACATAACTCATCTAGTTGGGCTTAGTGATAGGGTCATTTGCTAAGAAGGAAGACACATGTACGTGATGAGCTCAAATCCCTGTAAGACTCTAAATAAAAGTGTCAAAGAGCTGCCTAAATGCGGAGTGTGGATGCAGATCACAAGATGATTCTAACTGCAAAGAAAGGATATTAATGATAGGATAAACCCTGGTTTAAAATCAAATTATAAAAAAAATATTAAAAAATAATAAAAAAATAAAATTCTCACCCTAGACCACAATTTTTGTTAACTGGAAAGTCTACCATTGGCTATAATGCCCCTGGTACCATGGCCTCTTCTAAACTTATCTTGTACATCTGGCAGTCCTCTGTTCCTGTCATTTTTGGATAATCTTCAGCAGGATTTTGCTTGCATGTGATATTAGTGATTTTTTTCAATAATTTCCACACTCAGAGGCTGTGGTACTATGGGCATCATAGCTAATGTTAGGTGGATCTTGGTCAAATGCAGAAAATACCAGAGGAATGTCTATCTGTGCTGACTATACAAAGCCTTCACAATTACTTGCTATGCATCAGAGAGCTGGACAGGAATTAACGATGATAGAAGGATTGATGCTTTTGAGTTGTGGTATTGAACATACTGTGGACTGGCAGGATAACAAACAGGTCTGTCCTGAGAGGATGAAAGCAAGCTTCTCCCTAGAGGCAAGGATTTTGAAGCTCCATCTCACATCCTTTGGGTATGTGGCTAGGAGGGACTTTTCCTGTGAGAAAGTCATCATTCTTGGAAAAGGAAAGGAGCAACACAGGAGAGGAAGACCCAGTATGTAATGGATTGACTTGGTGACTGAAGAAATGGAATTAGGTGTGTCAGAGACCATGAGATTAGTTCCGGACAGGGTGAGTCACAGGTGACTCGATGGCACATAAGAAAGAAGAACAGCAACAGTCAGTTCCAACTAACAATGGAGCCTCCACTGGGTTTCTGAGACTGTCAGGCACATGAGAGGAGACTGTCCAGCTTTCCCTTGAGGAGCCCCTGGTGGATTTCAACCACCAGAGAAGAGCTAGCAGCCCTACTCCCTCCACCACCAGATCTCCAACTACTTAAGGCGTGGGCTTAAAACCTGCCTTAGAAAAAGCTACCTATCTCCCACTATTGCTTTCTTGATAACATCCACCTTTGTTCTACTCTCTGTGCCTCCACTGTGGGAAGATCACTAATTAATAACATTGTTTTGACTTGTTTTTAATTTTTTGAAGTGAAAATTCAACAATTCAATGGAACCATATTTTCACCTACACTAATTTCTCATAATAGATAGGAAAGAGTATAAATTTTAAAAAAATGAAAATGAAACAGCAAGAAGGAGAAAATAAATCAATCTTGACATATCCACTTAACACTTATTCTAATGAAACAATTTAGGATTGATATTTTAGTTCCCCATTTGGCAAATGTAATTGTCTTTTCTTTCTTAATAAATGCTGGAGGCATACACTGTTTATTGCTGTATTTGCTTTTATAAAGTTGCTGATATATTCTAGGATCCCAGTGTAATGGCTTTCAACTCACACTCACAGATAAATATTTCATAGCATACTTATGGTTTGGGTGGAGATAAACATTTGCCACAGCCCCACAGAGCTCCTGGAAATGGACAGAACTCTTGCTTTCCATAATGATCACTGCTTTGTATTTCTCATGCTGAGACAATCCAGCACCAAAGCCAATAAAAGTGACAGTGAACACTTGCGCAAGACTATCAGGCAAGTAAATCAGAGGTGAAGCTTATCATTAAAGCTGTAGGGGTTCCTCTAGAATTAAATAGACAAAAATTGTTTGGGGATTGGAAGTGATAGAGAACTGCTAGTTAATGTGGCAAAGATAGATAAATACCAGGAGAAGGCAAAAATGACTTACTAGAAGTCATATAAGCAACTTGAAGGATATAAACCAGCAATAAAGTAACAGTGCATCAAATTAAATGTGTACAACAGTTTTCAAAGGTAGATTTTTTAGTATCTTTCATGGAAAAACACTTTTTCTGATTTGATCTAACTATATCCATAATGTTATGATCGGATCAGGCCACCTGACTTTAAGATGGGTATTCTGTTATGTGTTGTGCAGCCAGAACGAACACCTAGTTAACCCTCCAGTGAGTTTGCAGAGGAGACTTTCCATCTTTCTTCCTTGAAACAGCTTGTGGAGTCAAACTGCATGCCTGTGGCTGACAGTACAACCCTTTACCCACGAGCCCGCCAGAGCTTCCTCAAGATGGATACAGACAATTGGAATAAAAGGGTGCATAAAAGCGTGGCTAAGATAGCCTGCAGAACAGTGTGGAAAGTATTCCTCAATATCTGAAGCAGATTCCAAAATGGAAAATAGAAAGCTTAAGGATTAGGAAATGAGAGTATTTGGGCAAAAGTACTCCTGGGAGAAGATTCTGTGGTGGTTCGGCGCTAGATGGTGACTGATCTTTAAGCAACCATTTCCCTGTTAAAGCATTCTATATTATGAAACCAAAAGCCATGTGATTTCAATAGCCGATGGCTACATCCATAAAACAAAAGGGGAAAAAAAAGAGAGAGAGAGAAAGTTGGTATTAAAGGTTTAAATCGCTTTTAATTTTAAATTCTCAAACTGAGATAAACCTAAAGGACACAGTCATCATTTCTTGTAAAACAGCTGTATTAATGAAATTCAAATTAAGAGATTCAAAATTTCTCCTTTGAAATTATTTCATTAGCTATTCATACCTATTGTCCATTCAAACACAGTCTCTCTCTTCAATGTGGCTCTTTGGGAAGCTTTGTTAAAGGAACAGAGATTTTTAGCTTTAGAACTGTCATACTATATTTCAAAGAATTTCATTGGGGAAACACACTTTTTCGCCTCATGTGTTATGGGTACAAATGTCTGTATGGGAGTCGCATCTTCAATTTCTCTTCAGAATGGAAGACATTACTCTGAGGATGTTGCATGGGAAAGAAGTGAAATACAATATGACAATGAGGCAATAAAATTCCAAAGATGATAAAAATACCCTTTGAGAATATAGAACAGAGGTAAATATAGTTAAAGTGTTACAGAAAAAGAAAGAAAAATGAGTAAAAGTTTTAAAAGGTTTTGATCAACATCTACAAAGGTCCTCAAGGTCCAAAAAAGACTACTAAGGCATTATTACTCTGGGTATGGAGTCCCTGATACTTAAGTGTGGGCAGCCACAGAGTACAGACCAGGTTAGCCTGTCTGAATCAGATAGGCTCTTAACTATTTCTGTTTCCAGTGCAATGTAGACAAGCAAAGAAGGAAGCAATAATTAAAATAGGAAAGATTGCCTAAAGCTACAGAAAGAACCAGAAACACTGAGACTGATCCAAGATACCATGAGATGGCAAATGGATGCATCATTGCTGCTTGGGAGTGTCAAGTGATGCAAAAAAAAGGAAGTTTTAACTCTACTGTATTAAATATTTCAACATTTCAGCAAAATTTCCAATTTTGCCGTTCTTGTAATATTTGTTCATATTTTACAATGGACCACTTAAATATGTAATTAAATTATGTTTATACTTTCATGACCTTGGCAGATAGATGAATGTTTATGTAAGGTAGAAAAGTAGTTTCTTTTGAATATATGAAGAATAATTTGGTATCTTTTATTAAACAATTATTGAAATTTAAAATTTGAAATTAGTTTTATTTGGGATAGGTTTTTGTTATTTGTTTAAAATCAAAAGCTGCTTTTACAAAAGGTTAATGTAAATCTTAGAATAGTCATATACTCCCTTACCTGTAAAGAAAATTTCTCTTATTCAAAAGCAAACAAACAAAAAACCCAAAACCTATTAATTATCTAGAACTGAGAGAAAATAGATTTTTGTTGTTCAAATATTAGTTTTCTCTTTCTAGGCTTTCAGATGTACATAGTAAAGACATTAACTTTCTGTGTGACAAAAACAAACAGAAAAAAGAACACAGAAAATAAGAGACACTTGTACATTTTCATACTGGAAAACAGATTCAAGGAAAGACAATTTCAAGAAATTAAAAGAAGACAACAAATAATACCAAATATACATCCTAAATGTTATATATAAATAATTATGTCAAAAGAATATGAAAAGTTAATATATCAAAGAAGTGTGTTATGTTTCAAAGATCAGAAATGAAAGATAAAGTTGGTAGTTAAGTTTCATCGCAATAAAAATTTAAATACCTTCTTCAACATCTGAGATATATTCGCCATCACTGAGCATTTCAGGGGCATTGGCTTTACGAACTGTATGATTCAAGCGAACAATGTTAAGTGTACAAAAAGTTTATACTGCAACATATATTTTAATGCTTCTAAAAACATCATCACAATGACTTTCCTTGAAACAGAAATGCATAGGCACAATTACTAAGAATTCAAGGGATGTTTTCATACCTTCATCATCAGACATATCAAGAACTTCATTCATTGTTTCTGGAACATTCATTTTGTGTTTCTCTGTGACAGTCTAGTAACAAAAAAAAAGTAGTCAATTTAGTGTAAGAAAAATGTCACTTTCAAATAAAACTATTCAACTTTTATAAATATATCAGTTTTATGTGGGACTAATATGTGGAATTGCTTGAAGCTTCTCTATAGAAAATGGTAACAAAATATTTTCTTTTAATAGTATTAAGGTCTTCAACACAAACCCAAACTAGGTTGTTAAAATTATGGAAAGGTACAGATTGTTTCTTATTAACAAGTCTTGGTAAATGTTACTTAAAACCTCTTTCCTCAAATGTAGTGTTGAAAAAAAACTTTATTTGATGATTATTCTAGCATGTTATATTCTTGTTGGCATTTTAGAAAATGTTTGAAATGTTGAAAAAGCTACAGATTTATAGACAAACTGAAAAGACTGTATACAGAGGTCTCATACTCCCTACACTCATTTCCCCTAATATTAACATTGTACAGTTACACTGCATATTGTCACTAGTAATGAACTAATATTTATCCCCATAACTAAAGTATGTAAGTTATGCTCATTAAACAATTTTTACGTAATATCCTTCCTTTTTGTATCCCCAGATCCGTCTAGGACACTGCATTACATTTAATTTAGTCATCACGCCTGAGGCTACTCTGGGACAAGATGGTGTCTTAGACTTTTTAAAAATGCATACTGCATTGAAACAGAAGAGGGAGAAAACTATTTAAAAGGGATATATGATTAGGTATTATTGTCATCACAGTAGTCCAGCACGAAGGCTGCACAGTGGAGTGGACTTGTGGGGAGGGACTGTATTAACAACGAAAGAATTTTTCTTGTACTTTTCAAAGAGAAGAGTGAACTGGAGGGAAGGGGTGGGCAGAGAGAAAAGTGCAACAATGAATAAATAGAAATCCAAAGTCTCTGTAAATTTTCATTAAAATTAATAATTTAAAAACCCAAAGTTCAGACACTACATAACAAAAAATTCACCAATTTTGAGGCAGCCTGAGGCCACATATTTTATGTCATATTCCTCCAGTGGGATTTGTCTAATGTTTCCCCTGTGGTTAAGAAAACAATGAAACTCAATTGCCATCAAGTTTGAACTGACACATAGATGACCCTCCATTGGGTTTTTGAGGCTGTAAATCACATGAGAGGAGATTGTGCATCCTCCTTCTGCAAAGCTATTGGTAGGTTCAGAGAGTTAGAGGTACAATCTTTGGGTCTCATAGTTAGACAAGGCTATATGTCTTTAGGATGAAGAGCACAGAGGTAAGGTGCTACCCTCATATCTCTGTGTATCACAGGTATATAACATCAAGATTTACCATTCTTGATGTTGACCCTGATCATCAGGCTGAGATAATGCTTGAGCATTTCCATTTGTAAGTCACTCTACACATAGTTCTCAGGTTAGAAAGGTGTCTCACTAAGTTGTTGGTAAGTTTGGCCAGGTGAATGAATATGGTTCTTATTTTGCCTTACTTTAGTGCAAGAAAGGGCTCTGGAGCCTCTCCAATGTTTTAAAAGCTGCACCTACTGCAAGCGAAGGTAACTGTAATGGATATTTTTTAATTTTTTTTCCTTTCTAGTAGCGAGTGATTCAGGGGTCTCCCATAGGCCAGTGGTAAGAACTTGCACTGCAATTCAAAGGCTCACGGTTCAAATCCACTAGCTGCTCTGCAGGAGGACAACGGACAATCTCCTCCTGTGTGATCTGCTGTCTCTGAAAACCAGCTGGAGGGTCAGCTATGTGTTGGGTCAACTCAAATGCACACAGCAACTGAGGGCTGTTCAATCTTTTCAAAGTGAAGACAAATTTACAGAGCATTAAAAGATCAGAAGATACTGCCCATAAAGCAGACATGTGGATGTTCATAACCCGGGACCTGCCTGGATTTCCTTCCTTTCCACACTGTTTACTTTGGAAGGAAGTCATCATGCAAAGTCCACAGTTAGGGAGTGAGCTTACACACAGTTTAGGACTTACACACTACCTCCAAGGGCGAAACACTCCAACATAAATCATTTGGAATTCTCTTGCCTAAGAGATCTTTCTCTTCTCTCACATTTATCTACTCACTTATTCATACCAGTAAGACCAAGTTTTTATTGTATATTTTGTACAATACTCTTGTATAACTATATTTCTGCTCAAAATTTTCTAGCTTTGGTCACTGTGAACTTTGTGTTCACTTCTAAGTCTTTTTGACATGTGCCTGTAATTGTGTGTGTATTTAATGACTATTTTTTGGGGAGGGAGGAAGTACATGCACACTTTCTGACAGATGCTCCATGCTCATCTTGGCATATTTTTTCACCCCAGCCCTAGGTGTAGACATTTCTCCAAGGAATGCTGTTTCTTTCTATTAGAGGGTGATATTAGAAACCATGACCTGGGCTCTAGGTGTGCTCACTGCCACCAAGGACTTTAAACAAGGCATTTTAATTGCATAACCCATCTTTTTCTTGAATGTCAACTTCTATGCATTCAATTTTCTATGCTATCAATAAGATAATCTCGTTCACTAAAACATCTTTTGGAATTTCTACATCATGCAACTCAACCACATGGGAGGTTTATTGTTCTTTAAAGTGAAAAATGTATATTCTTAAAGTGACAATGGTTGCTGGGGACCCAACCTGCAAAAATTATGCCTCTGATGGAAACTGTGCTATATTTACCTAGCTTCAAATCACAGACTACACCCACAATTGCGACAGTCCTCTAAACTAGGTTACATGGAACTGCCAAAACAGGGCTGGCAAGGTGGTGTCTCGAAATAAAGTTTCACATATTGCAAAGCATAGCTAGACTATGTTTTGTGGACTTCCGAAGACTTTAAAAGAAAAAATCAACAGGAGTATTTCATTTCCTGGGAGCTTCATTTGCTTCAATAGGGAAACCGGACTTTTCTCACTGACAGCCTGAATTGTGTCTCCTTACTCTTGCAGCCTTTGAGAACATCACCACCTCAGCCAACTGAGGACGAAGGGAGTGAAATGCCGTGACTCTGATACACGTTATGTCACTGACAGGAACCAAAGCCCTGATGTCCTACGGTTTCAGTAGATTTCCTAACGCTGTAACTCCACTTCCTCTGCTCTGGCTTTAATGCCATTTTCTCTTAAGCTTTTTTTTTTCCTTCCTATTTTGTTAATTTAAATTTTTTTTCATGGTTGAAAAAGTTCCTTATATTCCATTCCTAAGTTTGCAATCTAAACTACTGTAAAAGTTTTAATGCTTCATGCCTTCTCTCTAATAGTAGCTAAGTTTTAGAACTTGATGGCAGGTTTCTAAATTTTTATAGCATTATGACACTTGGCTATTATGTAATATCTTGTCCTCTTCCCTTCCTGTCCCCAACATACAAACCAGAAAACCAGACACAGTGCCATCAAGTGGGTTCCAACCCTGGCAATCCTACAGGACAGAGAAGAATTGCTCCGAAGGCTTCCAAGACATACATTTCAACAGAAGCAGAGTGCTTAATTTTCCTCCCACGGACGGGGGTGGTGGGTGGGCTCTATTTGAAAGGTTTAGCTAACCTTTTCATCACCAGCCTAGTGCTTAACCCCTGCCTCACAGGCCTCCTTATCCCCACCATAAAGAGAGTGAGATGAAATACCTATAAAAGTAAGATTTGTGAAGATTGTTTTAAGGAAAATGTAGTAATGGATTCTAAGATAATGAAATAGCAGTACATGAAACCCAAAGTGTACAAATTTATCTTTTAGACAAACTGTACCAGGCAGTCAAGATCTTGACACTAGGGTCCTTCCCATTATCAATTTACCCTTCCCAGACAAAACCGTGTTATTGCTTGATGCTGTCGAGCCCATTCTGACTCACAGAGAGAGATACATGCACAAGAGAGCAAAATACTGTCCCATCTTGCACCGTCACCACGGTTGTTACTGTGTTTGAAAAGACGTAACAGATGCATCTTTACTTGTTTCAGCCCACAGTTCTATAGGGAGATACAGGGGTTTCCTGAAATAATACTTGGTGAAGCAATTTGGTCACCTAGAAAGCACAGGGAAACGGTTAATTTGGGAACCTTTACCCATTGCTATGGATGCTTTGCTGTAATGATACTGCTTGCACAAAAAACCTAATAGATGAACGCTGATAACTGTGATGAGCAGCTCTGGTGCTGAAGTAGTTAAAGCACTCTGCTAGGCAGTCACTATTGTAAAGATCTCATCTTGGGAATCCTATGAGCAGATTACTCTGTTCTATAATGTTACAATGACTTGACTCAATAGCGGTGAGGTCTGTGGTTGGGTCTTCCCCCCCCCCTTTTTTTTTAAATGTAGTGTTATGATATCAGAGCATGAGTAAAGTTTTTTCCTCCTTCTTTTATTGAATCCACTTTTGACCAAAGTGATTTTCTAGACTCACATACTTCTCTTGGATCTCAGTGTAAATATGTGAAAGTATCTTTTGGAGAAACAATTTGCAGATATATTTGGTAAATTTTCTTCTCCGTATCTTGATCTGTATAGTTTTTCAATAGGACTTTTCAATCTCAACACTGCTGACTTTAGGACTGGGTAGTTCTTGGACCTGGGGGAGGAGTGTTCAGTACATCGTAGGACGATTGGCAGCATTCTCACTCTCTGCTCATAGCTACTGAGTCAGAATCAACTCAGAGTCGACACTGCAGAGGGTTTTCTCAGCGTGTAAATAGCATGACTGGAGATTTCCCATCTTTCTCCTGCAGGCTAATAATGGCCTTTACCTACAAGGTTTCCACAGAACCTGTCTAGTTGTGCTGCTCAAAACTGCCTCCAGAAAATGCTATACATCCCCCAGAGGACAAGAATCACCCCAGCTGAGAACCATTACTCTAGTACATTAAAACCATCATTGCATTTCTCTTTTACAAATGACAAAATCTCACTGTTGCCATTAGCTGTCTTTGATGTTAGACCTTACAATCTTTGATTTTAGACATAGCTAAAGAACTCATCTTGTGGGTAGCTGCAGAGCTACCCAGGTTTCTGACACGAAGCCCTATGTACACAGTGATCTGAAGAGAAGGGTAACTCCCTACACCTCCACTCGTGTTGCATGGTGGTGAAGAAAAAAAAAGGAGGTGGAGTTGAAATTTGAAAGGCCCCAAACTCCTAGGTTCACACTGTATATGGTCAATCTGGAGCCTGCATGTTGAGTCATGGAGTCAAGAATAACTACAATAAGCCTCTGAGATGGTGCAATGTCTCCTCTTGAATCAGAAGTTAATCAGACCATGAAGGAGCGCAAAACAAATAGCAGGAGAGAAAAGAAATTACTTATCCTAGAAACTTTGGTTTGTAAGACTGGACCTGATGTAACAGGAAAAGATTTACTTAAATTTTAACAAAACACCTTAAATTTTTTGTTCTGTGTAAACGTTGATAGAGTGAAAGTAGTGTTCAAAAATAACTTTGACCCTGTCTATAATGTTTCTTATAACAAAGCATAAGGTGTCCACGCTAACATGCTAACACGTCAATACAAGCACTGACCAATGTTTTACACTAACCAAGAAAGGGTGTTAAAAAAAACTTCCTACCTTCCCCATAAGTTCAGTGTTGTGTTGTTTTTTTTTTAAATTAAAAAAAAATACATTTAGCTTTTATGCAATGGAAAACTCCATAACTACTAATGCTATTATTAAAAGGACATTTTAAAATTCTTTTAAATTTTAATTCATATCAGAAATAATATTTTGATTCCTGCCTTCCACCTATAAGGAAACCAGCGTGCAGATCATGGAGCTGAATCTCTGAATGGAGAGAGAGAAGGGTACTCTAAAAGCACCTCAGGAAAAGCAGGAAAAACACCAGTCTTGGAAGTGACTCACAGCAGGACAGCAAGGCTATCCATTACTTACGTTCGTTATGATGGTCTCCTCAGTCACAACCTTTAGGGTGTCTACCACTGAGATGTAGCCAAGGCGCCGGGCAATGGCCAGGGCAGTGTTTCCATTCTGGCCAGGGGAAAGCACAGCCAGGCGGTTAGTAAGTCGTCTTCTACATGTTTTAATGCCTATATAGTTCTAAGCATTTCACCTATACAAAACCCAAGGGAGTGTCCCACCAGGCCCATCTCATTGTCTTATAGAGACAGTTTCACTAGAAGCATTCCTTGAACGAAAGGAAACTCACCCAACCTGTTTCTATTCATAGAGCAAAGTCTGGGCAGCTACATGCGGAATCTCAGAGACTTTGAGAACGTTCTAAGCAAGCAACCAATCACACACATATTTATTCTCATGTTTCCTTCTCGCAGATCGACAAAGCAATTGGTAGTTTTTCCAGTAAGAAAAACTAGTCACACTTCTCTGGACAGCTGATGACAATGAGGTTATTGTCCCCTTTTCCTCATTCTACCATTGGCTTTGCCCACGACTGTTCATTCAACAAAAGGAGCAGAGGTATATGTTGAAGAAGGTAGCCAAGTTCAGAATCATCTCCCTCTCTTGCCTTCACCTGGCCCTGAGTTCTTACCACAGTGAGTTCATTAGGGGAGGCGTTGTTCTGAAGCAACACGTTGATTATATGCGTGTGTCCCTGTTGTGCTGCTTGATGCAACGGCGTGTATCCATTCTGTAGAGAGAGGGGGAAGAAATGGCTCTGACTTCCTGTGATACAAAATCAATGATCTTGCTGAAAACAAAGGGAGAAAGTTACCTTTGTTTTGGCATTAACTTTCGCAGAATGCTGGAGCAGGAAATTAACTATCTTGATATTTCCATAGTGGCAGCCCACATGTAACGGTGTATATCCCATCTGTAATTATATATATGCACATATATTTGTAAAAGAAACACCATAAGTGCACACTTTTAGTAACACCTCTCCTATATAGAAGAACTATTATTTAACTTTCTGCTTGGAAAAAAAACACACTCTGAACTCCAGTCACAGTTG